TGTGCCAAGCTTGTAGCGTCATACCCAAGAAGACTCAAGGCTGTAATCGCTGCCAAAGGTGCTTCAACAATGTACTGAGTAAAGGGTCTGAATACTTATGTAAATGTAATGTGGACTCAGCATTATGTGTTTGAAATTATTGCAGTGAGGAAAATCACAGATATTCTAATTATCTCATAGAGGAAGATATAACTTATCAATTTCATTCAATGTAAACCCTGTGATTAAACATTTATTACAGATTATGACATTATTTGTTGTTAGATATTACATTATTGGTGGCTTACACAGGCGAGTAACATCCAAAGATGGACAAAGCCAATTGGTAGGCTACACCAGCTGGTGAAAAGAAAACAGACTATTCTCTGCAGACATACTGTACTATTACCATAGTAACTAATGGAATAACTGGTTCCTGTGTGCTGGTCTAGAATAACCCTTTCTCTAGGCTACCTCATACCTTTATTATCAAAAACTGGGGTGGAAAAACTTGCCTAAACAAGGAGAAATGTTTCTGCTGTCACCAACAGCACTATCCTCAATATTACTGAAATGTCACTAGCGCATTAGATGAGTCATATTGCAAACTTGTGAGCAACACATTGCAGGCTATCTATTTTGGTTTGCTATTTGTTTAACCCCTGAACAAAGATTCAAATGAATGCTTTAAATGCTTTATCACCATGCTGCAATCACGTAATTTTGTTTTCATAAGAAAACCCAAAAGTGTGTTTAAATATTTTTCTATCATTTCTGTTTGTACTTCCATCCTCTATGTGGTAGTCTACCAGTTTACTACTACGTAGGTAGCCTATTTTAGCCTGTAGCCGATAAGTGAATTACATTGGGTGCTCTGGGGTGTAAAGATTTCATCGGGTACTATGTAATGGTTAGTAAATCATGTTAGTTTTATGGAGAGTATTTCTGCAGAAACAAATCGTGGCTTTCTAAGAAAATGGCTACGCAATGTATTAGAAGTTGCTGTTCCCTGATAGTAAATTGTGATCGTTTCAAGTTATTGACATTCACAGATGACATTTCTAAAGGAAAACATTTCAAATATTTTCCTTAGTGGTATTTTTCTGAAGTGAACTATCAGCGTCCATCTCATTTACTATGTTTCTGAGGTCCCATGAGTCTGAACCTCTACCACATAAATGTTCCACTCAATGGAAAATGTCATTGTGTATCTCCAGATGTGCATCATGAAGGGGTGACTTGGTTCAAACCTGACAGATGCCAAATGGGGCATTGTCACTCATCATACAAAGGCTGGTTTGTATTTTATGTGATGATGTAAGTACCGAGACTGATAGTGAGGCTACAATAGCTATTTAGATACATTGATGCAATGTGCTTTGAAACTTAAGTCAGAGCATGCTTGTGAAACAAAGGCTACAAAAGTTGTATAATCTTATGCATTCAAACACTGGGATCCTATAAATACATGGTATGACATCTGATTGACATACTAGAAAATAGTTGCCATAGATAAGCAGTTTCTAAGTTCTCTGTCAAATGTAATGGGCTGATGACATGTTAAATTCACTGAGGGCCTTAGAAACTGCTGATATATGGCAACTATTTTCTACTATGTCAATCAGATGTCATACCATGTATTTATAGGATCCCAATGTTTGCGACTGGTAGCCTAGCAGTTAAGAGCGTTGGGCCAATAACCGAAATGTTGCTGGTTCGAATCCCCGAGCCAACTAGGTGAAACATCTGTCGATGTGCCCTTGAGCAAGGCACTTAACCCTTATTGATCCTGTATGTTGCTCTGGATAAGAGCGTCTGCTGAAATGTAACATGAGTTACTGCTTGATCACGCTGAAGACAATGTAGCCTACGGTGCGTGTGCAGGGCTAGTGCAATGTCTTACCTCCCGTGTTTGTGCGCTTGGTACAACAGTCCTCCTCGGTCGGAGTTAGAGGTCGTTTACGAGTGTCGGGGGGATCTGACTCCATGTGGGGCTGTTGATTGTGATGAAGAGGATTCAAGAATATCCCGTTTTGTTCAACCGCTCCACCGGCCATCATTTTCCGACCAGTTTGTATAGGCCTATTTGCGGTATTCCACAACGCCCTCACCACATTACATGTATGCGAGTTCTCACAAAATGATCCAAGTTTTTCCTTCTTGACTTAAAATGTCTCCGATTTCCTCTTTGAGAACACCAAAATGACAGGCAACACAGCGCATTCGGTCCTGCTTGTTCTTCTTGACTCTGCTTGCAGTTGGCTGATAGAGCGTCACAGAAAGCTAAATATAAAAATCCATTGAGGGAAATGCATTCATTAGCCTGTCACTTCATTAGCTTTGTGTTCAGTAGTGGTGTCCTCTTGCCCGTGATTCATACGCAATAGTCCATCAAGGTGCCTTAAAATAATACCGTAACTCAGTAGAGACTGATGAACTAGCCTATCAAAAAGGTAAACATTTTAAAGATTTGCGAAGAATTGCCCGGGAAAATATATATATACATGTCATCTTCACGCCATCTTCTGGGATAAACATGTACAGTAAGTCCACGGCAGTTCGGCTGCAGTACAAGTGTAGCTGTTGTTATTGTCTTTGAAGTACAAGAGGGAAATATTATTTCAAAGCTCTGAAGTAGACCACACTGCCGCTGACCAGGGCATCTTCTTCGGCCGAAAGCCTGTCAGAAGAGCACAAGCTTAAGTCACGTGGATCAGAATCCACTTTTTTACTCCTTTGGCCTTTCTGGTCCAAAATGTAAAGTAGCTTGCAAAATTTGCACATTCAAACAAAATGCAAATATCAGCCAAATGATACTGCTTTTAATTGATTAAGTAAAAAAAAAATGCGATCCACATGTAAATAGGCCCTAAAGCTACTTCTGAATTAGGCTACCTGATAGTGTGATCCTTCTGCTAACCAACTCGCGCATAAGATGAATAAAGTGAATTTCGACCTGAAACACGAATAAAGTTCACATGGAACATGTTTGACTACATTCTAACCGGATTGGAGCAAATACACTTTTACCAACAAAATAGACTTACCCAGGGTGGTGAACTTCATCCGTGCAGCTAGTAAGGTGCAGGTGAATAAAAGATGTACAAATAAAGTAAAATGGAGGTACACTTGTGTTCACCCCAGAAATGGTCCAAACCACTTTAAAGTTACTGTCTTCATACTTTCTTACACCAACTTTCATATACCAAAATGACAGGTGTGAACTTGCAGTGAGCTATGAAATAATGTAACTAGATATAAGTCAATACAGGATTTAATTATTTTAGGACTAATAGTGATATTACATCACCACTTTTTATGTTGACCCATTCCAGGTGGGTGCATGAAATTCTAGGCCTGGGCATTAACATTATCAAATCAAATCAAATGTTATTGGTCACATGCGCCGAATACAACAGGTGCAGACATTACAGTGAAATGCTTACTTACAGCCCTTAACCAACAGTGCATTTATTTTTAACAAAAAAAGTAAAAATAAAACAACAACAAAAAAAGTGTTGTGAAAAAAAAGAGCAGAAGTAAAATAAAGGGAGGCTATATATACATGGGGGTACCGTTGCAGAGTCAATGTGCGGGGGCACCGGCTAGTTGAGGTAGTTGAGGTAATATGTACATGTGGGTAGAGTTAAAGTGACTATGCATAAATAATTAACAGAGTAGCATCTGCGTAAAAAGGGTGGGGTGGGGGGGCAGTGCAAATTGTCCAGGTAGCCATGATTAGCTGTTCAGGAGTCTTATGGCTTGGGGGTAGAAGCTGTTGAGAAGTCTTTTGGACCTAGACTTGGCACTCCGGTACCGCTTGCCGTGCGATAGCAGAGAGAACAGTCAATGACTAGGGTGGTTGGAGTCTTTGACAATTTTGAGGGCCTTCCTCTGACACCGCCTGGTATAGAGGTCCTGGATGGCAGGAAGCTTGGCCCCAGTGATGTACTGGGCCGTACGCACTACCCTCTGTAGTGCCTTGCGGTCAGAGGCCAAGCAGTTGCCATACCAGGCGGTGATGCAACCAGTCAGGATGCTCTCGATGGTGCAGCTGTAGAATTTTTTGAGGATCTGAGGACCCATGCCAAATCTTTTCAGTCTCCTGAGGGGGAATAGGCTTTGTCGTGCCCTCTTCACGACTGTCTTGGTATGTTTGGACCATGATAGTTCGTTGGTGATGTGGACACCAAGGAACTTGAAGCTCTCAACCTGTTCCACTACAGCCCCGTCGATGAGAATGGGGGCGTGCTCAGTCCTCTTTTTTTTTCCTGTAGTCCACAATCATCTCCTTTGTCTTGGTCACGTTGAGGGAGAGGTTGTTGTCCTGGCACCACATGGCCAGGTCTCTGACCTCCTCCCTATAGGCTGTCTCATCGTTGTCGGTGATCAGGCCTACCACTGTTGTGTCGTCGGCAAACTTAATGATGGTGTTGGAGTCGTGCCTGGCCATGCAGTCATGGGTGATCAGAGAGTACAGGAGGGGACTGAGCACGCACCCCTGAGGGGCCCCCGTGTTGAGGATCAGTGTGGCAGATGTGTTGTTACCTACCCTTACCACCTGGGGGCGGCCCGTCAGGAAGTCCAGGATCCAGTTGCAGAGGGAGGTGTTTAGTCCCAGGATCCTTAGCTTGGTGATGAGCTTAGAGGGCACTATGGTGTTGAATGCTGAGCTGTAGTCAATGAATAGCATTCTTACGTAGGTGTTCCTCTTGTCCAGGTGGGAAAGGGCAGTGTGGAGTGCAATAGAGATTGCATCATCTGTGGATCTGTTGGGGCGGTATGCAAATTGGCGTTGGTCTACGGTTTCTGGGATAATGCTGTTGATGTGAGCCATGACCAGCCTTTCAAAGCACTGCTTCAATGTGCTGTATGACACCATAAAATTACTAAATACTTACTTCATGAACAAAATGAGACCTTGCCAGTGAACTTGTTGTTTTAGCTCTTTTTAGTCCTGTCATAATTACAGAGACCTAAATACAATTTTGAAAAAGCATCTTGACAATAATGCAAACAACTTATTTGGTTAACCATTTATTGTGTACATACTGTATATGGACAATATTACATGTTAGGCAACATACAACATCATGATCAAATACCATTTTTTTAAAAGTGTAGATGCTTCATGGTAAAACTGTAATTATTGGCACAGGTAACAAAAAAAACAGGTGGTTCTCAGTTTGATCGGGCACTCCGCTCCTCATTGGTCACAGCGTCCCTCTTCAGTTTCCCGTTCTGGGATTGGCTGAACTTCCGAGCCAGTGGTCAGCTTTGACAACCTGTCCGCCAGTCGCTGAAGGACCAAGTCAGCAGTGCTGGTCAGACTGTGCTAGAGAGAGGACGAGAGGGGAACATATGGAGGAATGGAAAGAAGAGAAAGAGAGTGGTAGAGAGAAAGAGATGATACAGTCAGTGGCAACACGTCAATCAGGGCAGGTGGGGCAGAACCCCACCTGTTTATAATTTTTTGCCTGTTTTGTATGATACTTTGGCATTAATACGTGTCACATATCAGTTTGCAAACAATGTAAAAAATCTGCATACAAACTTGGTCTCTTTTTAGCTTTCCTGAGTAAGGCAGCTCCAAAATGCAGGTGTTTCAGCATTGCTCAGTGCTTTCTGTGGTGGTGGGGCAGCCAGCAGAAAATATGGAGTGTAGCGGTTGGTAATGTTCTCTAGTTGCCCCGTGATTGGCTCAGTGTTCTGTCACTCATGGGGACACTACATCACGCAAAATCTACGGGTAAAGCTCGAAAATTCAAGCCCCTTGGGTGCTGCCATAGTTACATTAGAAGTGCCCATCCAAGAAGGCTCAAGGTCATTGGCCACAGATAAAATGACGTCAAATCATGTTATATCAACAGTAGCTTTGATTGGACTGATCATGTCAACATCATACTTTCAAAATCTTAGCTAGCAAGCTAGCAGTCATCATCATGAATCAAGTCGACAATCTACTGGCAAATCCTTTTCAATCCTTGTCATATGAAGATAAATAATGAAGAGAAATTATAGATAAAACGTATTGGTGCTCATCAGCCATAAACATTACACAACAAGTTGGAAATCACAAATTCAACAATGAGTGGTTTGGAAGGAATATGTGGCTAACTGCAAGCATTGCAAAGCAATAACTAGCCTGATATTCCATGAAGTGGGTGTGTGGTCCAAGTCTGGGTTTAAGGGTCTTTTTTCCAATCTTAAAAGGATAAACATTCAACATTGGCCATGCTTTCAATCCAGCATGACTTCTGCCGCGCTCAAAACAACTGGAAACTCCAAACTGGGAGATCTCAGACTTCAGTGAGTTCAAGACAACTGGGAACTCAGAAAAAAACGAGCTCCGACTGGGAAAATACATTTTGAACGGTCATCCAACTTGGAATTGCAAGTCGGTGCCTCACCCTAATAATATGGTCAATTTCCCCCTCATAATTTAGCCTACTGTTCTGACTTGGTGGTGCACATGTAGCCTATAGCCTGTTTTAGAGAAATGTAATAATCAAATATTGTAAGAGCTTTCATTGTCTGCTTATATGCCCCCTTTATTTATCCTACGGTTCTGATTTGGTGTACAGGGAGAATACTGTAAGAACGGCCCTTGTTCTGAATTCTGTCGCTGTACATTTCAAAAGTGCTGAACAAATAGTTATATTGACTACGTCCGTCCTAGATCGCTCATTAACGTCTTAATCGAAATTACGGATTGCCTCTTATCCGCTCTTCATCCCCTTGTGCCATAGATTCTCAATTGTCAGTAGAAACCACATTTGTTTAAGCAAGTCATCCATATCAGCTATGTTTTTTAAAAAGGCAGTAAATGAGGCTGAATGAACTTTTTCGCTGTCAAACAAGGCTCCGCTGATAACAAGGTGTAGCAGTGGTAAGGTGTTGGGACTGCTGTTGGGACTCTGCTGTTAGGACAGCTTTATGTAGGCCCTAACAGTTTGTGGGCACCGTTTGTCACCGTTATAGTGAAATTAATGTATTGTTTAGTGTTGTGTTGTGGCTTTGCTGGCATGCATCAACAAAAATTGCCCCACCAAGATTTACATGCTTAAATCGCCACTGGATACAGTACATATATTTCTGTAATAACATTTGCATATGCTGTTGTAAAATGCCTAGCTATCTTAAGATAGCTGGAAAAATAACTAAAAATGTAAACGTAAAATGTATTATAGGGCCTACACTCTGTGCTATGGCCCTCTATGATAATGTACCTGTAGTATGTGCAGCCCCTTGAGTGTTAGAATCGCCAGCTCTCTCAGCCCATCTCCAGTCAAGTCCAAGTAAATTATGGACAGCAAGGGGCTCTTGAAGCTCCGCCTCCACAGCAGTTGGAACTGTTCCTCTGTCCCTCTCATTGGTTGCTGGAACTTGTAGCAAAGCAGCTCCTGAAGCATAGGAGCAGAGGCATATGAGACCCTCAGCACATCAGTTAATCATGATTTGGATGAGAAGTTTTAAAGCCACACTCTGAAAGATGTGACTACCATCCAAGAGTGGAGCAAAAAAAATAATTGACAAATGGAGTAAAACGTCATTCGTTTATGATAAGGTTAGACTGTTGTACTAATCTCATCAAGGGGTATGTACAGTGCATTCGGAAAGTATTCAGACCCCTTGACTTTTTCCACATTTTGTTACGTTACAGCCTTATTCTAAAATTGATTACATTGTTTAAAAAAAATAAAAATAAATGGAAATATCACATTTACATAAGTATTCAGACCCTTTCCTCAGTACTTTGTTGAAGCACTTTTGGCAGATATTACAGCCTCGGGTCTTCTTGGGTATGACGCTATAAGCTTGGCACACCTGTATTTGGAGAGTTTCTCCCATTCTTCTCAGCAGATCCTCGCAAGCTCTGTCAGGTTGGATGGGGAGCGTTCAGAGACCGAAGCCACTCCTGCGTTGTCTTGGCTGTGTGCTTAGGGTCGTTGTCCTGTTGGAAGGTGAATCTTCGCCCCAGTCTGAGGTCCTGAGCACTCTGGAGCAGGTTTTCATCAAGGATCTCTCTGTACTTTGCTCCGTTCATCTTTCCCTTGATCCTGACTAGTCTCCCAGTCCCTGCCGCTGAAAAACATCCCCACAGCACCATGCTTCACCGTAGGGATGGTGCCAGGTTTCCTCCGGCCAAAGAGTTCAATCTTGGTTTAATCAGACCAGAGAATCTTGTTTCTCATGGTCTGAGAGTCCGTTAGGTGCGTTTTGGCAAACTCCAAGTGGGTGTCATCATGTGCCTTTTACTGATGAGTGGCTTCCGTCTGGCCACTCTACCATAAAGGCCTGATTGGTGGAGTGCTGCAGAGATGGTTGGGCTTCTGGAAGGTTCTCCCATCTCCCCAGAGGAACTCTGTCAGAGTGACCATTGGGTTCTTGGTCACCTCCCTGACCAAGGCCCTTCTCCCCCGATTGCGCAGTTTGGCTGGGCAGCCAGCTCTAGGAAGAGTCTTGGTGGTTCCAAACTTCTTCCATTTAAGAATGATTGAGGCTGTGTTCTTGGGGACCTTCAATGCTGCAGAAAAGTTTTGGTACCATTCCCCAGATCTGTGCTTTGACAAAATCCTGTCTCCGGGCTCTACGGACAATTTCTTCGACCTCATGCCTTGGTTTTTGCTCTGACATGCACTGTCAACTGTGGGACCTTATATAGACAGGATTGTGCCTTTCCAAATCATGTCCAATCAAGTTGTAGAAACCTCTCATGGATGATCAATGGTAACAGAATGCACCTGAGCTAAATTTTGAGTCTCATAGCAAAGGGTCTGAATAATTATGTAAATAAGGTATTTCTATTTTTATTTTTAATACATGTGCTAACATTTTTACAAACCTGTTTTCACTTAGTCATTATGGGGTATTGTGTGTAGGTTGATGAGGAAAACATTTAGTCAATTTTAGAATAAGGCTGTGACGTAACAAAATGTGGAAAAAGGGAAGGGGTTTGAATACTTTCCAAATGCACAGTATTTCATTAGTTTAAATGAAGTCTTTTTTTTTGCTCATAGCCCTTCTGCCCCTTATGAGAAGCCCCACAAACTCACCTGTCCATAGGTTCCCAGTAACAGCTCCTTCTGTCCATCAAAGTCCAGGTCTGTGACCAGCGCACAGAGCACTGCGTCACACTGGTCACTCTCCGAGAGGCATGCAGGGCGACTCACACCGTACCCCTGGACATCCCTGAGAGCACAATGTCCTGACCATTCTGACCATAGAAACCTAACTGACCACACAGTGACCGTAGACTAGAAAGCGCACGGACCACCCAGGGAACACAAAACACTCACCAGGACAAAATAGAATATCCTTACCGACCACCACAGAGTATGAAAAAGCTTTATTCAACAAATGACTGGCTACCACTGCAATAAGATATGGGTGTGCGACTTTAATTACATTTCTGAGGTAATGTTCCATTAGTAAGCACCTCTCGCAAATGGTTTGCATTCTTTATTAATGTATTCTTAGTCTCTAATAGGCCTGTGATACTGACCTGTACACGACAGCCATCTCTATACTGCTGGTCACCAGGAGGTTGTAACCAACGACCTCAATGTCTGAGAAAAGTGTGGAGACAAACATTTTGTTTTTTATGGCTGTGGCGGTCATGAAATGTTGTCAAGCGGTAATTGTATTGCAAATGGAGCCGGTCTCACAGTAATTTACCGTTAATTAACATAAATATGTTTACAATCTCCAGGCTTCCACGCATACAAGCTGCTGAAGCATGCCTTTGGAACAGCTACATTTAAAAAAGTTGAATAAATCTATTTAATATAGCCTACACCATCACAATAAAATCCATTATTTATTTACTTGTGATAGGCCTATAAACCTGGGAATGTTTTAGAAATCAAAACATACACTACCAGTCAAAAGTTTGGACACACCTACTCATTCAAGGGTTTTTCTTTATTTTTTAAACTATTTTTTACATTGTAGAATAATAGTGAAGACATCAAAACTATGAAATAGCACATATGGAATCATGTAGTAACCAAAAAAGTGTTAAACAAATCAAAATATTTTTTATATTTGAGATTCTTCAAATAGCCACCCTTTGCCTTGATGGACAGCTTTGCACACTCTTGGCATTCTCTCAACCACCTTCATGAGGTAGTCACCTGGAATGCATTTCAATTAACAGGTGTGCTTTCTTAAAAGTTAATTTGTGGAATTTCTTTCCTTCTTAATGCATTTGAGCCAATCAGTTGTGGTGTGACATGGTAGGGGGGGGTATACAGAAGATAGCCCTATTTGGTAAAAGACCAAGTCCATATAATGGCAAGAACAGCTCAAATAATCAAAGAGAAACGACAGTCCCATCATTACTTTAAGGTCAGTTAATCTGGAACATTTCATGAACTTTGAAAGTTTCTTCAAGTGCAGTCGCAAAAACCATCAAGCGCTATGATTAAACTGGCTCTCATGAGGACCGCCACAGGAATGGAAGACCCAGAGTTACCTCTGCTACAGATAAGTTAATTAGAGTTACCAGCCTCAGAAATTGCAGCCCAAATAAATGCTTCAGAGTTCAAGTCATCGACACATCTCAACATCAACTGTTCAGAGGGGACTGTGTAAATCAGGCCTTCATGGTCAAATTGCTGCAAAGCACCGACTACTAAAAGGACACCAATAAGAAGAAGAGGCCTGCTTGGGCCAAGAAACACGAGCAATGGACCTTAGACCGGTGGAAATTTGTCCTTTAGTCTGGAGTCCAAATTGGAGATTTTTGGTTCCAACCGCCATGTCTTTGTGAGACGCGGTGTGGGTGAACGGATGATCTCCGCATGTGTAGTTCCCACCGTAAAGCATGGTGGAGGTGTTATGGTGTGGGGGTGCTTTGCTGGTGACACTGTCTGTGATTTATTTAGAATTCAAGGCACACTTAACCAGCATGGCTACCACAGCATTCTGCAGCGATACGCCATCCCATCTGGTTTGGACTATCATTCGTTTTTCAACAGGATAATGACCCAACACACCTCCAGGCTGTGTCAGGACTATTTTACCAAGAAGGAGAGTGATGGAGTGCTGCATCAGATGATCTGGCCTCCACAATCCCCCGACCTCAACCCAATTGAGATGGTTTGGGATGAGTCGGACGGCAGAGTGAAGGAAAAGCAGCCAACAAGTGCTCAGCATATGTGGCAACTCTTTCAAGACTGTTGGAAAAGCATTCCAGATAAAGCTGGTTGAGAGAATGCCAAGTGTGCAAAGCTGTCATCAAGGCAAAGGGTGGCTATTTGAAGAATCTCAAATGTAAAATATATTTTGAATGAGTAGGTGTGTCCAAACTTTCGACTGGTACTGTAAGGGCTGCATGATGTGACTCTATATTGATGATTTGGAAAAAAGGCATGCGCTCTGATCCTTGCGCTTGACGCGTAGAGAGAAAGACAATTGCATTGCTGCTCTGCTTGTGTGGCAAGCAAGTTAGGGGATATCTAATCAATGGAAGATGGAATTAAAATTACAGAATGAAAAGTTAAATGAGAAAGAAAGGCTACAATGACCAAAAGCCAACAGGTAGGCTGCTATTTAGGCTATAATCTGAATGGATTTGTTGTTATGTGTAGGGTAACTGTAGGACGGTGCAACATCTGCATAGAATTTGCAATACATCTATAGCTCCACCTAGCCCACTGGTAGGCTAGGGAGAGGTTCTGACCAAATGCTCTCTTCTCCTATCTAATCATTTTGTGTTTGACTGTGCATAAACATGGATCTACAAATCTCATTGCATCCAAAAGAACGACTTGTTATTATTATGTAGATCAGTCAGTCTGCTCAGTCAGTCGGTGATCAGCAACTGAGCAGAATGATTCCCTCAAACACGTCCAGAGTTTTGGAAGGAAAGTACATCCGCAAATCATAGGTTATGTCGCAAATGGCACCCTATTCCCTATATAGTGCACTACTTCTGACAAAAGCCCTATAGGCACTGGTAAAACGTAGAACTCTACATAGGGAATGTAGTGCCAGTTGGGCACAACAATATCCAGAGATCATATCGTTGCTGCTCATACATACCGTCCCCTCCCTCCTCTCCTGCCCTTTCGGGGTCCGCCGACTCCGCTCGGGAATGCAGAGGGAAGAGCAGCACGGTGGAGATGGGACTGTCCTGCTGCACCCGCCAACTCTGCACAATCTCTAATCCGCGCGGACGCATGTGAAAACACAGAAAGGAAAGTACATCCGCAAATCATAGGTTGTGTCCAAAATGGCACCCTATTCCCTATATAGCGCACTACATTTAACCAAAGCCCTACGGGCCCTGGTCGAAAGTAGTGCACTAAATAGGGAATTGAGTGCCATTTGGGACACAATCCTATAGTGAGTTAGTGTATGTGTTGTGTATAGGCAGTCCTCACTAGGTCCAGTTTGGTCCACCAGAGCCAGCCCCACGCAGCCATTCTGACAGCCAAAGGCCGAGAGACGATGACCGCTGGGGATACTCAGCACATCAAGCCACAACACACTGCAAAGAGAGGGAACAGTGATTACACACACACACACACACACAACTGGGAGAGAACAGCAGACAGAGGTTACACAAACTAACTTGCTGGGCAGCTCTTGTAGCTCAGGGAAGAGTCTCTCGACTGGCTGCTCTTCAAATTGGTGAAGGGAGGCGTTCTATTGCAGAGAAGAGATGTTAACTAGTCTCCCACACCAAACATTACAAATCTCACTGCACATACACAGGTACATAGGCTTACCTCCTTGTAAAGATGAATCCTCTGGTCATGACCACTGAGCAGAAACACTGTCTCACTGCATCCATCTTCGCACTGCACTCTGGAACAGTGATATACTGTTGTTAGTCATGTCATTAACAATGTAAGGAAGTGATAAAACCCTATCGTCATGCCAGGCTTTTTTTATACATTCAATAATATAATCTAGACTCATACATTGGGTCATTCATGCACACACATTTATACTGACTCTACACACACACTCACATCAACAGTCAACATATACGCTGCTGCTAGTCTGTTTATCATATATCCTGATGCCTAGTCACCTTACTCCTATACATGTCTACCTCTATCACTCCAGTCTCCCTGCACATTGTATAGTATTGGAACTGACCCTGTATATAGCTTACTTACTGCTCATGTTCTTCTTATTTCAGTCTTCTTATTTCTACTTTATGTTATTTTTAGTACTACATTGATTACTGCACTGTTGGGTTTAGAACTTGCAAGAAAGGCATTTCACTGTACTACTGTGCACGCGACATTAAAACTTTAAACTTGAAAGTGCATTGTGCACCTAAAATGTGTGGTAGGCCTTGAAAGGAGTCAAAGAAGTATGAACTATGTCTAAAGTTGTTTAGGCAAGTTAGATTGGGGCCCACTCTACTGTGTACAGTACTTACTCTGTGTGGTAAAGCTGGAAGGGGGTGAACTGCAGCTCCAGGTTCAGACAGCTCTCTAAGAAGAGGACAAAGAAACAAGCTATAATCAGGGTCATGTTCACTAGGCACGAAACAGAAGAAACCGGTTCATAACAGGGTGAAATTGGGAGGTATTATCTGAACTCTTTTGTTTTCAATCGTACAATGTGTTCCTAATGAAAACAACCCTGCAAAACCATGTGAATACCAGAAGGGAATGTGTGTTCTATGTGACTCTGCTGCAGCAGGTGATGCGATGACTCACGTGCAATGGACTCCAGGTTGAATTCTGACCCTGGCTCGTAGTCACAGTAGATGTTGAGGAACGGAGTGGCTTTGTCACCAGAGTCCTGGGGGGAACGAGTGAAGACAAGTGTTATGGATACAGCAGGGTTCTTCAATTCCGGTCCTGGAGGGCCGAAACACTTCTGTTTTTCATCCTCTCCTTCTAATCAGGGGCTAATTCAGACCTGGGACACCAGGTGAGTGCAATTAACTACCAGGTAGAAATAAAAAACAGAAGTGTTTCGGCCCTCCAGGACCGGAATTGAAGAACCCTGGGATACAGTGATGTGTGAACACACTTTCATCTACCAAAGAGAAAGAGAGAGAAGTGATCATGGTCGTATCATTCTGTAGACACGAAACGTAAGAAAACGTCCCAAAACAGAGAGGTACTATCTGAACTTGCCCATGAGAAATGCTCGTTTTCTGTTTTGCTACAGTGTGGCCTAATGAACACGACTCATGTTTGGGTAGGATATGTGTACAGATGTGTTCACTAGGAGAAGGGTAGGTGATATAAATATACCTTAATGAACGTTATTCCCACGACCAGGCCCCTGTTCGGTGAGGATTTGTTGAAAGCGTCAATTGATACAATCTCTGCATCAACTGAAGAGACAGAGAACGACAGACACACATTAGCAAGTTTACTATCTACACATTTTGTATACACATACACAACACATGAATCGATGCAATGCATGCAATAATGCAACAGTAGCAGGATACATTCTGTAGCTAGCTATCTTATCCTCACCTGGTATGTAAGTGAACTGTACCTCTTTAGCCACAGGTCTGATTTTCTGTTGGAGGTCTTGGTACCTGAAACAGACCACTTTGCCTTTCAGAGTAGCGGCGAGTAGCTGTTGCTCTCCAGCCTGACAGAGTCCGTACATGTTACTCTGGGACAGAAAGCGGCTGAAACTGTCCTCCACGAATGGACACGCTTCTTTCCCCTCGCGTAGCATCCTCGTGACGTAGTAAATAAAATTGATCTAATCAGAATTTGCCAAAACTAGTGCAAAACACCAGCCTATTCCAATAATCCCAAATCCTCCATCACCCTACACGCAGTCCAAAAACACAACATCCGGATGTGGGAGGAACTACGAGTAAAATTGTCCAATTGGAAAACATTTAATGATTTCTAGCAAATCAGTGTGGAGGTCTTCAACCAATCACTTAACTTCGTAGTTCAGTCGCTGCAGTGCAATACGCAAACGTCAACCACTAGGTGTCACAAAAAACTATATAATAAAATCCATGATCCTGTCTATGGATGTTCCTATAGATAGGATCATGCGTAAGCAAAACAACGGCATGCATTCTAGTCTCTTGGCTTGGAATATAAATAAAAGTAATCTGTTTGAGTGTTCAGTTTATATATTAACTTATTGGACTTAGTGTCCTCAAATACTTTTCACTTGTGAACAGTATAATGTATATTACTTCTGAGCGGCTGCGGGTCCTCTTCTAAGCAGGCGTTATTTTTATTTATTTCTTTTTTATCTCACTGGCTTTCTTACACAGAGCACACCTCACAATTCAGTATAACAGTTGCCAGTCCCTGACACATATCTCTGTGAATCAAGCCTCTCTAATTACTTATTTGTATAATATTGTGGAGGAGAGATGAATGAAGAGTTTTGTTTTTTTGAGGACTGCACAACAGACAGTAGGCTGCCTCAATATAAAACATGGTTAGAGAGAGCAGGGAACACATTTACATTTTAGTCATTTAGCAGACGCTCTTATCCAGAGCAACTTACATGCATACATTATTATTTTTTTCATACTGGCCCCCCATGGGAATCAAACCCACAACCCTGGCGTTGCAAACACCATGCACTATCAACTGAGCTACATCCCTGCTGGCCATTCCCTCCCCTACCCTGGGCCAATTGTGCGCCGCCCCATGGGTCTCCCGGTCTCGGCCGGCTACGACAGAGACTGGATTCAAACCAGGATCTCTAGTGGCACAGCTAGCACTGCGATGCAGTGCCTTAGACCACTGTGCCACTCGGGAGACACAGTACCGCAGTATCAGTTTACACAACGTCTAAATCAGCAGGTCACATCTAATCTACACATTGTTTGGTTAGTCAGTACTATCTCATGCGTTCACCAGGGATGCAGTGGTAAAAAATCGAGGCACAAATTTGTAACAATATTTCATGATCAATAGTATTGAAAGCTCTTGTATCTACTACAAAATATATATTATATCTACTACAAAACCCTCTGTGTGTATATGTCTCTTTTGGAGAGAGAATGTCCATTGCATATGGACATTGGACAATTCCTGCCAAGACAATGTGTAGTGTTTGTGTCATTGGGTCTTGTATGTATATTGTATGTAGAGACAGTGATATCACCTGTTGTACTATATTCTCCCAGTTCAGGAATAGCTTGTGCCAAACTCCCAGTTCCCGAGTGGCACAGTGGTCTATGTCTCTTTTGTGTCATTGAGTCTTGTATGCATATTGTACGTACAGACAGTGATATCACCTGTTGTACTATGGGTCTCCCCTACCTTGGTTCGAATCCAGCCTCTGTCGTAGCCGGCCGCGACCGGGAGACCCATGGCGCGGCGCACAATTGGGCCAGGGTAGGGGCAGGGATGTAGCTCAGTTGGTAGAGCGTTTGCAACGCCAGGGTTGTGGGTTCGATTCCTATGGGGGGCCAGTATGAAAAATAATGTATGCACTCACTAACTGTAAATCGCTCTGGATAAGAGCGTTTGCTAAATGACTAAAATGTAAACTTCTGGCAGGATTACTGTCCACTATTATCAGTCAACCACATTGTCACCTCAGACAGCATCCTCTGACTCATTACACACACAATGTCACTTTTTATTTAAGGGTATTTTCATACAATTTTGTTTCACTGTTTAGAAATGAAAACACTTTATGTATCTATTCCTCCCATTTGAGGTATCATAAGTATTTGGACAAATTCACTTATAGTGTGTTCAATTTAGTCAAAAAGTTTAGTATGTGGTCCCATTTTCCTAGCACGCAGTTGGTACACCAAGCTTAGGACTCTACAGACTTGTTGGATGCATTTGCAGTTTGTTTGGTTATGTTTCGGATTATGTTGTGCCCAAAAGAAAATAACGGTCAGTAATTTATTGTGTCATTTTGGAGTAACTTTTATTGTAAATAAGAGTAGAATATGTTTCTGAACACGTCTACATTAATGTGGATGCTACCATGATTACATATCATGAATGAATCGTGAATAATTATGAGTGAGAAAGTTACAGAGGCATAAATATCATACCCCCCCAAAAATGCTAACCTCCCCTGTTATTGGCAATGGTAAGAGGTTAGCATGTTTTGGGGGCATGGTCTTTGTGCATCTGTAACTTTCTCACTCATCGTTATTCACGATTCATTCATGATTATCCCTAATCATGGTAGCATCCACATGAACGTAGAAGTGTTCAGAAACATATTATATTCTCATTTACAATAAAAGTGACTCCAAAATGACACACGTGGGGTAACTGGTCATTAGTGAGTGCATACATAATTTTTTTATACTGGCCCCCCATGGGAATCGAACCCACAACCCTGGTGTGGCAAACGCCATGCTCTACCAACTGAGCTACATCCCTGCCGGCCATTCCCTCCCCTACCCTGGACAAATTGTGCACCGCCCCATGGGTCTCCCGGTCGCGGCCGGCTACGAGCCTGGATTCGAACCAGGATCTCTAGTGGCCTTAGACCACTGCGCCACTCGGGAGACACAAATTCCACAGTAACAGACGTTTTCACTTTAAAATGTTTATGCCAAGCAAATAACATTGATTTCAAACCACACACCTGCACTACATGACCAAAAGTATGAGGACACTTGCTCGACCATTCCAAAATCATCTCATTCCAAAATCATGGACATTAATATGGAGTTGGTCCACCCTTTGCTGCACAACAGCCTCCACTCTTCTAGATGTTGGAACATTGCTGCAGGGAATTGCTTCCATTCAACCACAAGAGCATTAGTGGGGTTGGGCACTGATGTTGGGCGATTAGGCCAGTCAAGTTCTTCCACACCGATCTTGACAAACCATTTCTGTATGGACCTCGCTTTGTGCACGGGGGCATTGTCATGCTGAAACACGAAAGGGCCTTCCCCAAACTGTTGCCACAAAGTTGGAAGCACCAAATTGTCTAGAATGTCATTGTATGCTGTAGTGTTAAGATTTCCCTTCACTGGAACTAAGGGGCCTAGCACAAACCATGAAAAACAGCCCTAGACCATTATTCTTCCTTCACCAAACTTTACAGTTGGCACTATGCATTGGGGCAGGTAGCGTTCCATTGTTTCCACTGCTCCAGAGTCCAATGGAGGCGAGCTTTACACCACTCCAGCCGACGCTTGGCATTGCGCATGGTGATCTTAGGCTTGTGTGGGGCTGCTCGGCAATGGAAACCCATTTCATGAAGCTCCCGACAAACAGTTATTGTGCTGACGTTGCTTCCAGAGGCAGTTTGGAACTCGGTAGTGAGTGTTGCAACCGAGGACAGACGATTTTTATGCGCTACACGCTTCAGCACTCGGTCGTCCCGTTCTGTGAGCTTGTGTGGCCTACCACTTCGCTGCTCCTAGACATTTCCACTTCACAATAGTAGGGCAAGAATTTGAGAAACTGACTTGTTGTAAAGGTGGCATCCTATGACAGTGCCAGGTTGAAAGTCACTGAGCTCTTCAGTAAGGCCATTCTACTGACAATGTTTGTCTATGGAGATTGAATGGCTGTGTGCTCGATTTTATACACCTGTCAGCAATGGGTGTGGCTGAAATAGCCCAATCCACTAATTTGAAGGTGTGTACACATACTTTTGTATATATTGTGTATATGCAGAAGTCTACTTTGAACAATTGCCACTGAAAAAAAAAAAAACACATTCACTTGAGGAACAGTGCAGATGCAAAGTTTGGTAACAGAAGGACAGTAAAATCTCCCTCAGTTTTGTATGTGACCACGTTTTCCAAAAACTGTTAAATATTAACTCAGAATTAAGATTCAAAGATGTCTGCAGAAATATGACACATTGAGTTGGAAAAAATGTATTTTGGTTATCGAACTACAGTAAGTGAAGTGGATCAACACCCGGAAAAGAATGACGGTAAAATAATGACATCATGGGTCCCTGATCTGTACTATACAGAAATGCGTAATTATGCATGTCATTCTCTTCATGGTGATGCATCCTAAATAGGTACACAAAGGTAGAAACATTTAATATCTGCTATTATTCTCCATACTGGCTATTATTCTAATGAGCCCCGCCCCCAAACAAGACCAAATTTGGTTGGTCCAGACTGGACCAAATCTGTACCAATCATAGATGTCTATGTTTCACAGGTTTGGGCATCACAGTACAGCACAGTAGAGCACAATAGAGTACAGTACAGCACAGCACAGCACAGTAGAGTAGAGTTTAGTACAGTAGAACACAATAGAGCACAGTAGAGCGCAGTAAAGAAAAGTAGAGTAGAGTAGAGTATCGTTCAGTACAGTACAGTAGAGTACAGTAGAGTAGAGTATATTACATTATACTGTACTCTACTCATGTGTGCTCTACTGTACTCTACTCTAGTGAACTATATTCTACTCTACTTTTCTTTACTTTACTGTACTGTACTGTACTCTACTGTGCTCTACTTTACTGTACGGTGCTCTACTGTGCTGTACTGCAACTGTGGTTTGTGACTACCATGATTTCCCATTGTGGCCAATTCAATTGCAGTCATTTTGTTAGAGATTTTTCAGTCGCTTTGTTAACATTTATAAAACTATATTTAAATGTTGATATTAATTGACAGGGGCCTTTACTTCAATTTTTGGGGGGGTTTTGATGTATTTCTAATATCTTTTAAGACTTTTTCTAGTATATGTTTTTTAAGACCCCTTTTCCATCTGTGTAACCAGAAAAAAAAGCCTTTGCCTATTCCTAATTAATGAAGACATATGTATACCGTCATTTCCCAAAAATATAGACTCTTAGCTTTCATTTGATACCAAATTTGATATGCTCCTATAAACTTCACATGTTGGTGCTCATGGGTCTTTTTACATGGAAATGACC